CCTGCGTCCCTCACTACTGCTCCAGCATGCTACAGAAATGCTATTTTGAATGAAAGCAAACTGATGAGTTGATTAAAGCATGCTGATAACTTGCCTGAACTCAGGGCCTAGCCTCTCCTCCTGCACTGTCCAGCAAGTTGAGCAGCCACGTCCCCTCTAGTCACAGGCAAAATTCAGAGCAGCAGCAACCCCCACCTCCTCTCCCCACATCTGAGCGTAGTCTCAGGCTCTTTTCCACCCATGTCTGTAGCTGGAGTTTTCCTGGTCCTGCCTGGCCCACGGTCAGGACAAATTTCTCTCACCCACCAGTCCTGCAGCTGCTCAGACCCAACCAAGTAAACACACAGAGACTTATATTACTTACAAACTGTATGGCCATGGCAGGCTTCTTGCTAACTGTTCTTATATTTTAAATTAACCCATTTCTATAAATCTATACCTTGCCACGTGGCTCATGGCTTACCTTCTCATGGCGGTGGCTGGCAGCATCTCTCTGCCTTAGCCTTCTACTTCCCAGAATTCTCCTCTCTCTTTGTCCTGCCTACTTCCTGCCTGGCTACTGGCCAATCAGTGTTTTATTTATTAACCAATCAGAGTAACACATTTAACATAGAGAACATCCCACAGTACATGTCCATCTCCACTGCAAGAGCCAAGTTCAGAACCAGACCACTGCCTCAGTCCTCCTCATCACGGTCAGCTCATTTCCTGGAACAGCTATCTGCTCATGTACCTTCACGGCACCATGTTCCCACATTCCTTGGTCAGAACACAGGTGGCTCCCCACAGTCTGTCCATGTCGTGTCTCCCTATTTTAACATGACCGACCATTCTGATGAAATAGTCAGAGGAGCTTTTTCTCACCGCCTGGCACACGTGATCCTTGAGACTTGCATTGTGTGTCAACGTCTATCTCGGTGTCTGAACACTTTGACTACTGGCAGTATGAAGCCCACACCAACGAGGACCATTGCCTCGCCTGAAGTGAGGATATTACAAGTTTCATGCCATTTAACCTTCCACTCTCTGTGACAGCTCTAATGTCCATGCAGGTCACCACTCACGGTCTCCTGTTCTCCCCAAATGACGCCCTCAGCAGCGAGAGGGAGGATCTCTTCAGGAAGGGAGCCAAAGGGTGCACGCTGGGAGACTCTCTAGATCTCCACCAGTTATATCGATGCTCCCTTGACTTAGATCACAGAGCTCTCTTCGGGAATCTCAGCTCTCCTGCTCAGGTCTGGAAAGCGATGCTCGCTGCCACATGAGAAGCAGCAAACTAGTCAGAAGTCACCATGAGGACAGTGTGGCAAACTAGCAAAGCCACATCAGCCCAGATGTGGCAGGCCACTCTTAAAGGACATCTTCCCATCACCCCAAGTAAATCATTTGCCTCCAGATAAGGAGCAGGCTGCAAGGCGAGAACAGCACACTCGGAGCTGGAGCTCTGTCTTGCCTTTTGAAGCATGACCTTGGACAGGTTCTTAAAGACTTAATATTCATTTATTCAACAAATATTTACAGAGTGTCTTTCAGGTCCCCACTCTCAAAGAATTTATATTCTAATGGAAGAAGAAAGACATCACACAACAAACGGGCAGGGAGGAGGGAGGAAGAGGTTTTCAGACAGTGGCAAAGGACTTAGAATGAAGACAGCGATGAAACAGATTGCACTCAACTTCGGAGTCATTTCAGAAAGGTCACACTGAGACAAAGAAAATCCCAGCAACTTCTCAGTTCTCAACATCCATATTATTTCCCTACAAAAAACCCAGCTGAGCAGGGAGGTAATGAAAGCCTCTTGCAGCTCCAGGATGGCAGGACATCATGGCTGTTAGATATACATTATCTCTGTGTACATGCACAGCTCCTACATCAGACCACACCTGTATTTGGCTAAGCCGATCAAACGTGACTCTTAGCTTTGGACCCATTTTGAAGTCAACTATGTACAAGGAACTACATATGGCTTTGTATATTGAATTTCTCTAGTTCCATATGACGAGAAGTTTGTATTTTGCTAATATCTGGCAAATGAAGGCCAGCCGGTCCCTAACAGAAGCGTTAACTGGGACTTGCATGTGTCAAACCAGGCAGTCACATGACTTCATAACAAGATAGTGTTATCTTAAGCTAAATCTTTCCAGCAATGTCTTACACCACTAAATTCAGGTGTCTGAAAAGTAAAAAGGCAGAACTCTTCAGCTACATGGTCTCCTTTACATAAAAATGTGGGAAAATCTGAGGTGCTGAGGTATGGAAGTTTTCAAAGGAAACATCAGTATTTTGACCCACATTTTTCATGCGCCAGTTAACTAGAAAATTACAAAAGCTGAAAACCTCTGATAAACTGTACCAAGGGATTAATATAATACACCCTGCCCTCCCCCTCCCATCGCACCCCACTCACACCATGCAGGGCTGCATTTCTGGGGAGGAAATTAAAGCCTCTCAAACTGCTGAAAAGTGAGGGTCTCTGAATTTTTAATTCCGTTAACTAATCATTAGAAAACTAGAAGTTGTTGTCTCTCTGTGAAGCAGTGAGGGGCAGGCGTCCCAGACGTGCTGAATCTTGCAGGCACTGGCTGGTTTCCCAGCAACACAATGATTCGCAGGGCCACTACTTTGGGCACTTTTAGGATAATTAAATATTAAGCCCCTCTTTGATGTATGCAAAGTCTGCCTAAGAGGATTACCAGCCTGGTGCACGTAGCCTCCACATTTTCTTTTTGTAACTGAACATTGCAGTCAGTATTATTATCTGCGCTCATCTTTAGTCTGTATGAATGGGTCTCTATCAGCAATGGCACTGGAAATGCTTCTAAAGAAGAAAGAGGTGGTAGGGAGATCGTAAGCAAGGTGAACCACTGTTGTCCTGGTATCTGGGACACACAGATAGTGAGGACAGGGAGACAGAGGAGGTGAGCTGACCATTGTCTACCTTGGTTCAAGGTTCTAGTTTACACACAGGGTGTTGAAAACCTCAGTGTAAGAGTCTTCCCCAGGGTCACAGACATAGTGGTGTAAGGCTGACAGAGACACACACTGCCCATGGGGTCCCACTCTTTCCAGTGTTCTAGAGAAAGATAACAGTCTTTGAAAAATGGTAATTGAAGAGATAATTTGAACCATGGACATAGTTAACTCAACATTCTGAATCCAGATTGTATTTCCAGCCTGAAACTGCTGCTTCATTTTCCAAGGAACAAGAAGTTGCTTCAACTAGAAGTAAAAATTCTTCATCAAATTCCCTTGTGCTCCAAAAAAACAAAACAAAAAAAAAACCGCAATGCCCGGCAGACGCAGAGGAGACACAGTCCCCACAGTGTTCCTCAGAGAATTCCCAGGACACCGGTACAGCAATGCCAGCATGGGGTGTGCTCATTCCTACTACAAATATTGAAGGAACCTGACCATTACCTGCCAAGAACAGGGAAACCGCTCTTATCTAAGAGGAAAATAGACATGGGGAGAAAATAAAAACGTGAGACATGAGATAACGTTCACTTGTTATTCTGAGGCTCCTGGGAGAGATTTCCAGAAGGCCTGAACACTTGCTCCTTCTCAGAGCAAATATTCCTGAAATGAAGTTACTCACGGACCTCATGGGCGACAGCAAACAGGCTACAGTCACAGCAACAAAGTAGCAACAGCTGATTAGAACCTGAGGACTAGCCTCCTGGAGAGGCAAAGCATTATTTCAGTTGCTGTCCATCACTGAGGGAAGCCAAGGCAGGGGCTTCAAGCAGAAACCACAGAGGAGCGGATTACTGGCTTGCTTTCCAGCGCACTCTCTTACACAGCACAGACCTGCCTGCCTAGGGACAGAGCTGCCCACAGTGGGCCTTGGCCTCCCACATCAATCACCAATCCTGACAATCCCTTAACTGAGCTCCCTCAGATGAGTCTAAGCTGTGTCCAGTTGAAGCTAAAGGTAACCAGGATCTGTGTGTTCCAGAGTTTCCATGATAGTAGGGAGACAAACTGGAGGCAGGCAGGCAGGCAAGGTCAAGAAGTTTTAACTTTGAGAATTCAAAGTTCAGTCAAGTCTGCAGTTATCAGGGAAGGTTCCAGAGTGGAGGCTGGCCTGTGGGATCCTGGAAAGGGCTGAGAAACTAAGACGTTTGTCGCTCCCCGCCACAGTGGTGCAGGAGAAGGAAGGCCGAGTCACAAGTGCACAGGCAAAGCCACGGCCTTTCCAACCACAGGCATTTCTCCCGGAAAGAGTCAAAACCCTGTCAGTCAGTGTCATCAACAGTCCTGAAGATGGGCGTGTGGACATGATGGGCAGGTGTTTGATAAGCCCAGTCCTGTTTGGCCACGTATGAAGATCAGAATAGACTTTATTACCCAGAATCCACCACTAAGCAGCTGGCACTGGAAGTCTGCGTTACCACTGACTTGAGGAAGGGTGTGCACACACGTGCTGCTTACCTGTCTCTGGGGCCACGCGGCTCTGAGGATGGCGTCCGTCCGGAAGAACACCAGGAGCTTGCTGTCCTCCTCACTCAGGTGGAAGGACTGCCCCAAGAGCTGCAGTGCCTGGATCCGCGGCCTCACAGGGCAGGCGTCGTCAGCACAGAACGGCCGCAGCCACTGCAGCAGATCCTCGGCTGACACCAGCTCCTCCCTGCGGAGCAAGACAAGGTGGGAAGGGAGACTCCTGAGGCTCTGTGTGCCCCTTCTGGTGATCAAGTGCCACCGCTGGGCTAAAGCCGAGATGGGTGACTTTCCTAACGAGGAAATAAGTTTTAAGTGACTTACAGCAAACCATAATGGATGATCTTAAAACTACGTAAAATAAACATAATTCTTAAGCAGTATTCTATGAAACTGAGCTTCATAAAGCCAAAGCTGGCAAAAGGTAACCACTAACTACTATGCTCTTAGCTAGTTTCTTTCTTTCTTTCTTTCTTTCTTTCTTTCTTTCTTTCTTTCTTTCTTTCTTTCTTTCTTTCTTTCTTTCTTTCTTTCTTTCTTTCTTTCTTTCTCTAAAGTTTTCCTTCTGGTTAGATGCCACGAAATAGCGGCAATGCCTTAACCGTGTGTGTGTGTGTGTTGTTAGGCCCAAGGGCCTCCCCGTCCTTGTCAAGGGCAGTGCTAACCTCTCCCCTTTCATCCAACACGCTAGTTTATTTCTTATGAAACCTTAACCAGTCGTAGAGCTTGTCCAAGTGCTCGCACTAACAGTGTCAGGTCCCAGGCTGGCAATCTCACAGACTTGCTTACTAGTCGGCAACAGCTATGCAAACAAGACATGACCAGTTACATCGGCGAGGACAGCAGCGGCTTTGGAGAGGTGGTGTCATCTCCCCAGCGCCTGTCACGGAGAGCGGTTTGACCCCCCTGCCTGGGCCTCTCTATCATATCGCACTCTGATTACAATTTACATGTGTGGCTACACAATCAATATCTAAAAATAAAATGAATGCTCGGCTACTGCATGGCCGCAGAGGCTAGAAGAACGCAGTGAAGACAACGTTCTGCTCACCTCTCCACCCAACGCGGGGTCTGTTTTCCTGTAATCCGGAAGGGCCATCTCAGTGAACTCACTCGCGGATGTCAGGAACAGCTAAGTGTGACTCCCGGCAGGCTCCCTTCCCCGAGGCTCTGAATTACGCAGGTGTGTACAACCAGGTCCTTAGACAGCTCTTGGCATCAGTCACCTAAACTGAGCTGCAGACCACATCAAACGCTATGCCAATTCCTACTCTAACAAGTAATAATAACACATTAAAAAACAAACAACCCTGAAATTAAGTTCTGTATTGCCGCTGAACAAGTCTCGGCATCTACCACAGCATACCTACCTGACAAATGCTGTTTTATGGCAACTTACATTAAAAATAGGATTAAAGAAAGGAGATTATAAAATGTGAAGAACTGGCTTACACATGTCTAAATTTATGGATCATTTGACAGTTTCATCAACAGCTGCCCTTCCCTCTCGGTGTTCATTAGAAACGGGACATGGAAACGCCAGGCATGGAGACAGGCAGGCAGAGACAGGGCTCCAGGACTCTGCTGACCTGTCCATCTACTCAAGTTGGCCAGCTCCAGGTCCAGAGAGACAGAGACAGAGACAGAGAGACAGAGAGTCATCCTCAAAGACTAAGTGGAAGGGCTGGAGAGGAAGTTCAGTGGCTAGGAGCACTGGCTGGTCTTACAGAGGACCTCAACTTCCAACATCAGGCAGCTTCCAGGGGATCTGATGGCCTCTTGTGGCTTCTGCAGGTACTACATGCACGCAGTTCAAATACTATACATAGATAAGCAGGCACATACATACACATACAACTAATAAATACAATTTAAAAACATTAAGGAGGAGAGTGATTGAGGAAGACACCTGAAAACTTCTGGCTTCCACATACACGTAGGAACACACACATGCATGCACATCTGTACACAGAAGTCAAGACATACTTAAATCTGTTATGTACTCACACACAGACACATATGTGCAAACCTGTACATGAGTGGAAATATACATATATCTAAGTATATGTACACGCACAGGCACACACACCTGTACATACAACTGAAGACATGTACACCTATGTGTATGTGCACACACATACACGTATATACACTAGTACACCCAAGTGAACACACACTTAACACCTATACATATATAAGACATATACAGGAACTGGAAAAGTGTTAGTGTAAGAAAGAATGGAATGCACGGGTGTTTCCTGAATACCTCCTGTCTGTGGAGCTGTATCAGCAGGATCATTTCAGACCTAATTGGCTCACAGGCCCATCATTTTCTAACATTCTAAACACCAACCAGGAACGTCACTCTCTCTCTGCTGGCATCCAGGTAACCATGACAACAGAGGCAAAGCACCTTGCACAGTATAGGCGCAGAGGAAGCACTTCATGGCCACCACCCCCTGCCGGAGTCATCTGCCCAAGAATTACTGCTGTTGCCACAGCACTAGAGTTTGCGCAGACACTGAAAACTTACATGGAACCAACACAGCACAGAAGGAAGACTTGTGAATTGACCTTTGTCCAAATTATTGATATGACAAAAACTGAGCAATCTGGAGGAAGAAGTGTGGCATCTGAAAAAGATCAAGGATATGCAGGATGTGCATAAGTGCAAAGACAGGAAATTGTAACTCCAGGAAAGAGAACGGGGAAAAGGCAAAGACTTCCAAGGGTGTGGAAGTGCAGTGAAGATTAATGTCCAGTGTGAGGTGAAGAGAGGAGCGAGCTACAGAGGGACAGAGCCACGAACACAGGCTGCAGGGACCGTGCGGCCTGTCTCAGGTCCTGGAATTCCAAGCCTTGGCTTCCTTACTACTCTTGGAGAGTGATGCCTTCCTCACAGGGTTGTTTAGAATTAAGCAGAAATATGTAGTAAATGCAATGTATGTAACATATCTAGCACATGCCTAAGTACTTCCAATGATGGCAGATTCTGAAGCAGTAAAGCTTGAACGCCACTTTTAAAGATCAGAGAAGAGGTGTAAGCTGGGCCGCCTCAGGTGGAGTCGGAAGCCGGAGTGCACATCTGGATGAAATGGGACACTGATATGAACCCCGCAAGGCTCAGGGAACATCAGGGAAGGGGCAGCAAGAATAGAGAGCCAGAGGGTGAGAGGGGCGCTGTGAGGTGGTATCCTGTAGACCTACGGCTGGTGCACACCTGAACTCACTGTGGCTAGTTTCCTGCAGAAGGCCAACAGCAAGGCTGGTCAACACAGTAGCAGACAGCACTAACTGGATTCAGTGGGCTGAGATGCGGGGCAGGGAGGCACACACAGCAAGAGTGCATAAAGATGGAGGAGAAGATGGCGGTGGAGGGAGAGGCTAGTTAGCGGCGGGTGTGACCAAGATACTACATCATGCAAGTGTATCAAAGTGTCAATAAGTAAATGAAAGCTATTTAAAAAAAAATCACATAGAAAGTTGATTGAAGCCCATTTCTGCCAACAAATCCAAACCAATTTCGCACAGTGTGAAGCTGGTGCTTTAACTTCATACTCAAATGTCAAGGTGAGTAGGATGAGCTCCAGTGTCTGAGAACTGGATTCATAAAGACCAAATGGAAGTTAGAGTAACCATAATCTATCTCACTGTGGTGAACAATAAAAGTATAAAAGACACTTAATGGAGATTTCCTCTGAGCAGTGACTATCAAAACTACCCTCTTCATGCATACTGCAACAGTCTAAGGTGTAGGCAAGGTGTAGGCAAGGAAATGATCCCCCAAGGTTGCATGGTACGCAGTGGGGTCTATCTCACCACCTTGAGCGATCTGCAGCCTTGCCTTGTCAATTACTGTGTAATACAAATGAGCCATTCTGGGACATATTACACAACACTGAGGCAGAAACTTCAGTTACTGATGAGATACAGAAAGATCATCATAACACTTTCCAAATAATTGTGTTGGACTCTGCTATTCCTAGAGCTTATTGTACAGTTAATAACATCTGACATTTTAGAGAGACATGTTCTAATTTTTAGCTGAAGTTTCAAATACATAATCAAATTGTTAGAACTCATTCCCAAAACAAAAACACTGTTCCAAAGCCACCAAGTCTTGAAGAAGCTTCATCGTACGTCCACCTGAACACGGGAGTCAGAACAAGGACGCAGAAAGAAAAGGACTCTTATAAAGCAATACCAAGGGCATGGGTCAGACAGCCTCAAGAGTGTTTGTAAAATTCAGTCATTCTTAGAGAGTGGCAAGTACGTACGTATGTACGTGTACACACACACACACACACACACACACACACACACACACACACACACACACACACACACGGCCAAACAATGGTAAAAGGAAACAGGTCAGTTTTTTGAATCCTTAACATTTTTCTATGGGTTAGAAACTTGTCAAGATAAATAGGTGTGTGTGTGGGGGGGTAAAAAGCATAATGTTAGCAATGTAGAGATGCAGAAGGAGAAGGAGGGAGGTGATTCTATTTCTGTAGTCTTTGGTGAAGAAAAGAAGGCTTAATGAGAATAATAATAAAAGGAGAAAATAATTTCAAAACACATTTACTTCATTAGAAAAATGATTAGTAAAAGTTATTAAATACCTAAAAGGAAAAATCTCTATGTTTTACTATTTAAAAAACCAGGCAATTGCTTCTACCACACTGTAAAGAGCCAATGTGACACTTTATTTAAAAATTATCAACTAACAGAGACACACAGACAGTCACATAATCAGCTGTGGCTCAACAGATAAGGGGTCATCTATTTAACAACTACTTCTCCTAACATGAAAGAGCAGCAGCAGCAGCAGCAGCAGCAGCAGCAGCAGCAGCAGAAGTGTGCTAACTGAGCGACTATCCGAGGATGTGACACTCCAGGGTGAGGTGGAGTGACCATCCATTCTTCTCGGTTGGTGCGGTAGCATGAGAGACATTCACAAGTACAAGAGAATGGAAGGGGATGTCAACCGAAGAGCAACCGAATCAAGACAAGATTTTAGAATAGGAAGGAAATCATCTTTGGTGAAATATTTTCCAAGTTCTTCATGACACACATCTTAGTTACAGTTACTATTGCTTTGATGAAGCACCACACCCAAAAGCAACTTGGGGAGGAAAGGGTTTACTTGACTCACACTTACACGTTGTCATCCATCACTGAAGGAGGTCAGGACAGGACTAAAATAGGTCAAGAACCCGAGGCAGGAGCTGATGCAGAGGCCATGCGGGGGTGCTGCTTACTGGCTTGCCTCCCATGGCTTGCTCAGCCTGCTTTCCTATAGAACCCAGGACCACCAGCCCAGGGATGGCCCCACCCACATGGGCTAGGCCCTTCCACATAAATCATTAATTAAGAAAATGTCTGATCTATGGAGGCATTTTCTTTACTGAGGTTTCCTCCTCTCAGATAACTTTGAACAGCATGGCTATTTGAGGTGCTGAGTGAGAATAGGTGACAATTTAGTGCTCAGCCCTACTTCAGATATTTATACAATTCCCTTGAAGGCTCGCAGTGTATCAACAAGGAGAGGTAGGAAAGAAAGGAAGAGCTGAAGACAGGGAGAAGGGCTGAAATGTCATCTTCTGGGAATGACTCAACCAACATACTGTGATCTGACAGGACCTGCGGCTGCTTACAATGGGCCCGCCAACAGTAAATCATG